GCACACCCGGGGCCGGCGCTGGCGCTCTCCCCCAAGCGCCGCGCGCCCTGGGCCAGCTCTGGCGCTCTCTCCCCCCCTCCCTCATGCGCCGCGGGGGGTCAATCCGCGGCGCCCCCGGGGCCGGCGCTCACCGTGCGCCACGCACCCAGGGCCGGCTCCGGCACCGCGCATGTGCCACGTGCCCGGCCCCAGGCCAGCCCTGAGCACTTGGCGGGCGCCGACAAATGCCCCCGCGGGCGCCATGGCACCCGCGGGCACCGTGTTGGGGACCACGGTTATAGACTAACAAAACATGTAGATGGGATCATGAGCTTTCGTGGGCACAGGCCACCCCAATTCCTGCTTTTGGGCCCAATCATGTCTGTTTTTTGTGGGGAACCACAAAAATTACTAGGATTCTGAGACATGCAAACCTGTTTGGGGGAAAGAAATTCCATATTGTGAAACTGTTTTCATTTCAAAGGGTGTGATGCTGACCTCCTCTGATTTTTAATTATTCATGAGGGTTTTTTTAAATCCTCCTTTTTAAAAATTAAACTGGTTATTGAAATTTTTTCATTTGTTCAAAATGTGGTTTTTGTTACTAACTGAAGACACGTTATGATGTTTTAGATGAAAATATTGAAAAAGGCACACACCTATTTTTAATTAAATTTTTCACTAAAAAGTCATTTGGAACAAACAAACAAACAAACAAAAAAGACTTGCTTTATTTGGGTGGAATATGAGTGCACATGCAATTCAGGCATGAACCCTGTAATCCAGCGTTTCCCAAACTATGGGCCACGGCCTGATACTGGGCCGCAGGAAAAAAGTACCGGACCTCAGCATGGTTGCCGAGGTGTTCCAGGCTCCCGAAGTGCCTGTGTGGCACCAGGTCCCCAAGCCCTTGGCCGGCCTGGGCAGAGTCTGCAGCTGAATCTTCCGGCTAGCGGAGGTTGGGGGCGGCGAGGAGGAGGAGGGGAGAGCCGGCCATCAGAAGCAGCACTGGATGGGGAAATCAGGGCGGACCAGGGAGATTGGGGGAGGGGCAGCCGGCACAAGCAAAGCTGGGCAGAGGGCTGGCCCGGGGAGATTAGGAGGAGGAGTAGGGGAGAAGCGCCCGCTGGAAGCAGGGCTTGCTTGGGGCATCGGGACTGACCGTGAGAAATTGGGGGGCTGGCAGAAGCAGGGCTGCTGGGGGGCGCGAGGTCGGGGGTAGGGAGCTGGCAAGGAAAATGGAGGGGGGGGGGGGACGAAGGGGCCCCGA